AAAAAAAAAAAAAAAAAAAAATTCGAAAGCTCTTTAAGTAGCCGTAGGTTGCCGTTGGAATTTTTGAGCATCCTTCACCCTTGGCCATTCAGTCAAGGTAAATTATCGTTCCGCCGGTTGGCCATCACCATCTTCCTTCTCCCTTCACATCTTCGATTTTCTTTCTCCCTTCCGCCAACCGACCCTCCTCTCGACTCCTCCTCTCTCTTTCTTTCTTTCCTTCTTTCCTCTTTTTTTCTTTCTTTCTCTCTTTCTTCGAGACTCGTTCTCGGTCGTTGTGTTCCTTGCACCACTCGAAACGCGCAGTACTTGCCCGGTACTTGTGGCTTTAATCTCGTTAATGCAGGTCCGCGCGGTTCGGCGGTCGTTTCGTTAATTCCTGGCCATTTCAATCGCTCCATCGAGCGAGCCCTCGTTATGCCGGATGCATATACAATGTGTACGCTCGGGGTGCACGTTCAATTTCATATTGGACGGGGGTTTGATCCCCCTCCCCCTCGTGCTCGAAATGATAAAACTGTTGGGCGGCAAAGTTGTTTACATCGAGCGTGATTAATTTGTATTTGTACCTCGGACTGGTGGCTGGATTTGAATAATTTTTTTAATAATTTTAAGGAAACGTTTAAGAAGAGGATTTTCCAAATTTTTTTTAGAAAAGAAGAAAAGGGTTGCGTTTAAGAATTCCGAAAGATTAGATTTTCCATGGAAATTATTTGCGTATGTATGCGTGTAATTTCTTTTTTAAGAAAAATCTTTATTGTGATATATGATAAATTCATTGTTCATAATAAATTCATTTTGACGAGGATTAAGTAATTAATGACCGTAAAACGTGTTATTATATATTTGAATTTAGAGATTAATTAAGCGTTTATTGCAATTGGACGTAAAATATTCCCTGCTTCCATTTCGCTCATGTTACATTTATTATCCATATGAAAAATATTTTTTATGTATCATTTATATCCGTTAAAAGCCGAGTTACGAATTAAAAGAAAAAACTTGTTAATAAACTTTGTGATAATACAAAGTTCTAAATGGCTTCAAATCTGAAATATACGTTAAATCAATTCACAAAGCCAATTTTCATATATATATAACAACAAATATTAATAGAAATTTTAAAGTTACGATAAAAATAATAAATAATAAAGAGACTAGCTAACGGATTAATAATTTAATTTATTAAAAAATTAAATTAATTTTCAAACCTGATACTGGATATTATCACTATTATCGATATTCTTTCTCTTATCCTTAACATATAACATGATGCAATTCGACGTCACTCCTCCTAAAAATCCCACGCCCCTCGATAAAGAGTTAATCGCCAAAGTCAAATATTTCTTTGACACGAAGCGCACACACAACACCAGAGTATCGATAAAGAGTATCGATTTTAGATAATTTCACGGTTTTCGTTGTACGATACAGACCGATACAGAGGATAAAACGTTTATCTATTCTGCTAATTCGAACGGTAAATCCGCGCTGATCCATCCACCACGATAAGCGTTATCATCCTCGGTATATATTTCGTTATCATCGAGATATCGATTTTCATAATTCTATCTCGTGAAAGCGTAATACGTCGCAGGGTATTAGGAAATTTCCGCTAATCCACCATCTTCTCGTTCATCAATGTTCCTCAATCGATCCTCGCGCGTTATTTTTCGCGATTCCCGATTTATCCTCGCCCCTCCTCCTCCTCCTATCGAGAGAAAAAGAGAGAGAGAAAAAATTAACGGTTTCGTTAATGCGCTCCCCTATAAATAAAGTATTAATCGAAGAGCCGCGAAGCGTTTTCCAATTTATCCGAAAGAAATAATTAACATAAAGCGGAAATGGTGGTGGAGAAAATCGATGGAGCGGCTCAAGGACCAGTTTTCGGCGCCCCTGTTCTGCTTTTTCGATCAATCGTGCGGTTATTTTCGTAGGCTTTATTCCGGAATATTATTAAGTCGAGTCGAGTCTCGTTTCATCCACGAAATATTTCTTTTGGATTGGAATTTATATTTAAGATAGATAAAAGGAATATTAATATAATATTAATCGATGAGAGAGAATTTCGAGCATTTATTTCTTGAAAATTGTTTTAAAGATAAACGAAACGAAGACACCATCATCATCGAGACGAGAAAAGATTTTAAGAATTATGGTATATTGGAAGAAATTTCGATAAGGAAACAGAATATTCTAAAAATTTCTAAAAATCTAAATATTTAATTATTCCGATCATAGTTTCGGTTTTGAAACGATTTGAAAGTTAGCTCGAGCGCTCAAGCTTTCGCCTGTACTTCAAAATCAATCGTTCTATCCTCTCGTTTGGAAATTATTAGTGAACGATGAACAGAGTGAATTGCATTATCGTTTAATTAATCGATTCATTTGACTATTAATAAGTTATTAATTTTTTTTTTAATTACGAGAAAGTTTATTTACGATCCTTTCCATTATATCGAATTACTCAATCAACACGACAATTCTATTAACAATTACAGTGTAATGTAATTTCAATCTAGATGTACTAATTGGAAAGCGCGTGACGATTTCAATTTCCCTTTAAGATCGATTAAAATTATATTATATTCAATGAAAATACGAACGACTTATCAGTAATTTTTACCTTTCATAAAATTTAACTTTGTCTTCTTTATTGTATATCTTCAAGCTTCATTGAAAGACGAATTGAATCGTAGCAATTTATAACGATTCTTCCTCTTCAAATTATCTTTCAAATTTGCCAATTTTAAATAAATATTATATAAATCTTGCAATCCGAGATTCCTTAAATCTCGAACTTGATAAATTTTGAAATAAACCAATCTCTTAAAATTCACTGTACTCTACTTCTCACATTTTCATAATTTAAAAACTGATTAAAAGCATTCGTCAATGGAAAAACATGGGAAGCACATGGTTCGAAATCCATTCTTCGATTCCAATTACCAATCCCAGAATAGATAATCCAAGGACCGGTTCTGGAGAAGAACTGATCAACGATTCCTCGCGTAACCACGACACAAATTGCGGTCTCGTTCAATGGAGCGCCCAAAGTGTTTTAAGGAGACGTGAGCAAATAGCTTTTCGACCTGGCGTGTCTCATTATTTACCAAAACACAGGCGTGATAAGAGACGAGAAAGAGAAGAGAGAGAGAAAGGGAAGTCGAGTTGGCTTTCAAGACAAGAAAGACAAAAACAATGTCGAATCGGATTTAACTCCGTGTTCTCCGCCTCTCGTTCCCTCTTTTCCACTCTTCCCCCCTCAGACATACATCTTTGCTTCTTCTCTACCTTCGTCTCTGCGGAGAAACGGCCAGGTAAGAGGAGATAGAGCCAAGGGACGATTACTCGACGAGCCTTTCTCCCCTCCACCTCATCCTTCACGAAATTCTCTCGTCTAAATTGTGGACCCCTCAGGGACGTCTATATCCTAGCCTGCTCGTTCATAATTGAGCGCGTCTCTATCCTCTCTACCGGACCATTCTCCCTCTTTCTTTGATGAGTTCAAAAACTGTCTTGGTGGATTCTTAAATTGGTTATCGAATAGATTTTTTTTTTTGTACGTTGATATTTCATCAGAGAGAGAGTGTCTTATTATTTGGGAAGAGAGTTGAAGGTTCTTTGATGGAGCAGATTATCGAGTTTAAATTATTATTTAAGTTGGCAGTAGCTTTGTTTGTCAAAGATTCAAAGGGATATTTCAGAATATTATAAAATAGATATTATGATTCTATGAAAATTGATAGAATCCCCCATGGTCTATGGAGAATTTCTCGAGTTACTCCATTAGATGAATCTTTATTTGACGTGGACATTGAAAGATTTCCCCTCAATACCCGGGAGAGGTGTCCGTAACATCGACTCCAATCGTGCAGAATTTTTCTAATTAAATTATCCTTCGCCTATACCATCAACTCTTCCATCTTCAATTTGCCAATCTCCCTCGATTCTTTTATTATTCGCACTTCTACGAAAGTATATCATGGAAATATTTTCATAAAATATTCGAATCGAATTTCCATTTCTAAATCGTCCCATCCCCGGCCGATTTCCAAGTAGAAACATTTGTCTCCTTCCTCGTTACCTTTACCTTTTGTTTAACTTTCCATCCCTTCGACGTCTGGTTTTGTATTTCCTCCAAGAGATTGTTCGAATCGGTTTGAAAAAATCGGAAATCGACGATTTTTTCCCTTTTCTTCTTCGAATCGCGATTCATTTCGCGCCCCATTCTGTCTAATTACCGACTGCCGGTAACTCGAGTGGATGCCACGGGGGATTTTCGTCGCGAAAAAACACTCGAGACGCGCACACTCGTTTCCGGGTCGTGGAAGATTATGAATATCCGCCAAGAGGCGACCTCCCTTTCGCGCTTTCTATTTTCCACCCGTGGGAAACCCGATGCCTTCGTTTGCTCGCCTAATGGCGTGTCCCACATCTCGAACACGCTGTCGTCTCTCGAACGAAATGAAAAATGATAGGGCCCAGTTTGTTGTCCCTCGATAGACGAGAACAGAGTGACGTTTGATAAAAGAGAGGTTGCCTCGATGTTGTTTGGCCAAGATGATTGAATTTTGTGATGGACGTCTTTTTTTGGACATGTTTCACCAATATTTTACTTGTCACAGAATATTCCAGGAGTTTCTTCCACCTTGAATATTGCTCAGTCCAACGTTTTGAGCATCTCTCGAAGCTTAAAATTTCGATCTAAAACGATCTAAAATTCAACGAATCGTTATTTGAGAAAATCAATTCACAGAAAATTTATTTATCCAATTGGCAAATATCGAATTATTACTTAATCCATCGAGAAATTTCATCGAAGAAAATTTAAAATCCCAGTGATCCTCGAAAATATACCAATAACCAAAAGAATAACAATCCAAATCACTGAAAACCATCCAAAAATTGTAAGAATCTTCGTGGAAAGTGCATACAAAGTTCCTCCCGTACCTGGATCCGCAATAATCGTATTCCTTAACAAGTACGGAATCGTCGTCAAAAATAAGGAAAATTCAAGTCGGATCCGTTTCTCAGCCGAATTGTTCGCGAGCTCCTCTTCCACCATACGTTCCTGGAGGAACGGAGATGGAGAGAGGAGGATGGAAGTCTTGGGTAACGCGGATGGGGAACTCGTTATCATCCTCATTCCCGTCGTCGGGATGCTTCTTATCTGGTTGGCCCTCCCTGGCTGGAACCTCTTTCCCGTTTGTTCCGGTAATAGTTGGCCCGACCCACCTCTAGGAATGCTACTTGGCCGTGTCCCACTTGCTCCCCTGTTTTTCACGGGGCAAAACCGTAATTCCGTGGCTGGGAACGTGGATCCCAGCTTTTTCTCCCCTCTCGTGCGTTTAAACACACCAATCGGAGATGTCGTTTTGCTTGGACGAATTTCCGGTTGCTTTCCAGGAAAGAATAAGTTAATTTAGGGGCGAGTATTTGTGCATCCTTTATGCTCCGTTCTCAGCACAAATTTGCGCTTGGAAATTGTTTGTTGGCTCGTGTCTTGCTCCAGTATATAATGCCATTAATTAGTTTAAGGGTTGGTAAAGTTGGTTTTGTACTTATTGAATTCGTTATTAATCTTTTATCTTAGTATATGTATATATATATAGTTTTTAAAATGTATTATTTTTTTTGTGATGGGAAATATTCATTTTCTCTTTGTGAAATCTTGATATTTGTTGAAGAGTTTTCTAATAATAAGATTCTCTTATTCTTCTTCCACGTATCGATTCATAAACTTATGAATTTAATTGAATATTTATCCACATTTTCCTCGGAAATTATTAATTATCGCTTAGTTATTCCTCTTATTTACATATTTTTCAAGATATATTATTCTTTCAACGAGAATCGAGGCTCCCAAAAATAGAAACAGATAAACTTGTTCGACTTTTCTGAGATCGAGCCAATTAAGCAAGGATTGTTGTTCGCGTGCTCGATTAGTGAAATTGCTTTTGGGCGTGTTAAGTGTTCTCGAAGAGAAGCGTTAACCGTTTTGGCGATTTAGGGAAGCGTCTCAGGGGGATGATCGACGGGTGGGGATTAATTTAGCATCGAGAAGCTGGAAGGGATCGGTGAAAATCCTCGAACGTTCCTTCCTCAGACACGATATTAATTAACAAGACTTTGTGCTCGATACCACATTGTTATAGCAATCAAGGGACAACGTATGAATTATAGAAGGAAACTTTGCTCCCCACGAATCCAATGGATATAATAATAATGATAGATTGTTGAACGAAACAGGTAATTTTGTCCTAATTTTTCTCTAATTTTCTCTTATCTTCTCTTCTATTTCTTCTACTTCTTCTTTGCAAGTTTAATTCGCACTTTGTATTCAATTCTTAGAGTTGCAAGATAAAACGCAATCCAGTGAATTCTGGAACGATCCTGGACATCTTCCAGTTCCAATTCCAATGCCTACTACTTATCAAATATTGGCCCACCAAGAGGATGGGAATAAAGTTTGCTTGGCAAACTTTAGCAACGTTGTTGTTGACATAATGGTAGGATTTTTGTAAACCACGTGTCGATAATTAACAAATTGTTGTCCGCTCATGGAAATGGTGTTTAATTCTTTCGAAACCATCGTTTTCATTCGATTGAATAAACGAAACGAACGATCGATTATGAAAATAACGTGTCGACTCGTCGACAGAGATAACAGTATTTATTAATCATTTCTTCTCACTCTCACTCACGAAGCGAGTCTCGTCGCTTGCTCCATGGGTGTAAATCCGGCAATAAAACGTCGCGACGCCGTCATTTGTTACCAGAGGCGTCGACGATCCTCTCAACCATCGATGCCCTTTCCCACGTTTCAACCGGTCGGTTTATTGTTAATTTCGCGTTTCCAACGATCTCCACGTGGAGTCGTAATATCGGCGGGCAAACGCTCGACATTCCACTCGAGAAGGCGAAATCTGGATGGTTGTTGGTCGATTCAAGGTCGCTTTACAGACTTATTAAATTTTAGTGAGAATTTAACCGGGGAAAGTTTTGTGGAGCAAGTTCGAGAAGAAATTGAGTTTCGAGGGTGGTGGCTTTCGATAATGAAGAAACTTTGAACACTCGAGGGTGTCAATTGGGGAATATTGTGGAATAAATATGGAATAAATATTGCGTAGCGTTCTGTAATTTTTCTTTCCCATTCTCAAAGAAAGTTCTCCTCCTTACGAATAAAGGATCACGCTCTTGGAACGAATGTTGTGCGTTCTAATTTTTCAGAAAGGATTTTCATTACGCAAATTTTAATTTTCATGAACTGCGAAAGAAAGGGAATTGAAATAATAATTGAAATAATAATTTCTGCAAATATCGTAATACCTTGCTTTATATAATATTTTATATCTTCTTGCATATCGTACGTAATTCCCAAAAATTTTTTCGTATATTTAAATTTTTCAATTTAATAACAAGGCACAATACTTTCGCAGATCTACGTTTGTACATCTTCTTATTTCTTTTTACTTTTAATCATTTGTAATAAAAATAATTAACATTTTACCGTTTTATTTATCGCCATAAATTTCTAACTTGTCAGAAATTCCTCCATTTATTAAACCATTAGAAGAAGATACCATACCAAATAGCACGAAATATTCGGCATAAGAAATCTCACGCTGCACAGTTTCACCGACACTTTGGTAAGAATATCGTCGCAAAATCTTTCCCCCATTCACCGCAATTCCGCGCTTCCCAACGCCCCAATTACAAATCCATTTAAACCATTCGTCCTTCCTAGCTCGGAAGAAGCTTAAAATTTAATTCTCCTCTCGTATCGATATCCACAGTTATTTCTCGAAAGAATATATATTCTCTGGGAATCGAAGGGTTTCGTCGTTCGTCGGCTTCTCCTCGATCGATGGTTAAACCAATTCGACGCTACATTTCATTTTTTTCAATTTGTCAAAGATGAAAAAGAAAATTCGTCGTCTAATTGCGTTTAACGCAAGCACAACGACAGTAGCATCGGTTAAGTTTTTGTTTAATTGGAAGCGGCAGTGTGTCGCAAGGAATCTGCAATCTGCGAGGAGCGTTTAAATTTCATTTCACGTTGTTCGCAAGACAAGATCGACTCCCTTTGATTACTCTTGGGAATTCTGTGGATTCCGATTTCCACTCTCTCTCTCTCTCTCTCTCTCTTTCGTCTATTTTTAATTCATTATATGCAGTACGTTCTGACGTTACGCCAGTCACGGGATTCCATTTGTAAGGAAATTGCGACCAGCGTGTCAAAGCGAAAACACGATACGCTTCTTCCATTTTTTTTTTCCTTCCTTTCGACATTTTTTCGTTCTTTTTGTTTTTTTTTTTTTTGGTGTGCGACGAATTAGCTTGTTCGAAGGGGATGGATATTAAATTCGTCATCGAGGATGCATCGAAAAATATTTATTGATCGATGAAATTTGAAATGCTGTCTTGATTGTAGAGAAAATTTGAGAGAGGTTTCGATTATATGGTTAATTCAAAAACTGCAAATTTTAACTTATTGTTCCGATAATAAAATAT